TGTGTACATATATATATATATAATATACATATACATATATATGTGTATACACATACATATATATACACATACATGTATATATATATGTATACAATTCCTTATTTTGGAGGGAATTAAGGAAGATAATGATACCTAAATGTAGCATGAAATGAGAAGCTTTCCTGAACTAGCTAATGTTGAGAATATTCTTGTCATGATGGATGATCAAGGCAGACTTTGATGGGCAGAAGAAACCAAACAATCAAAGAAATGACCTCTTGTGCACACCTCTCTCACAGATGTCTTCTTAGATGTTGTTCCTAAAATTACACAAGAATCTTCTAAAAGAGTTGAAAACAGATGAATTTAAAGTAGTTCTCTTCTGAACAAAATAAGTGTAAAAGCACAAAACAATAGTTCATTCAAGAACACACATAAAATGTATCTTTAGGACACAAGTAGTAAACAAAGGTTCAAAGCTTCTGAAGACCACTTTATGCTCAGGAAAATATGCCAAGGACAATCTTATAAGTACTGTCATCTAGTAAATGCATTTATCTGCAAATTAAATCAATCAACCTTAGTTCCAGAAATTAGGAAGAAGATATATTCCTCTCACCTGCTGTAAATAGGTCAATGGACAGCAGTCAGTGCTAAAGAAACTAGAAAGTTGTAATTCACCTCAGGACTAAGGAAAAGATTACACTGGCATTTTTTTTGTCTAACATCAAATACTGGACATATTAGTTTCTGGAGCATCTCTTCATTGGCTTTGCTGGTATTTGAAATATGTTCTACCTAATCAATGTCCATCAATCATTTTCATCTTTCATGTCGATTATATACATCTGATTGGTACGATCAGTGCATGATGATGTCAAGCTCTAGTATCTTCTTTCGAGGAAGCATTTGCATGGAAAGAATGATAAATTTGGACTACAACGACAGTATGTATGCTCAATTTTATGTTCATGCTTTCCTCGATGAGTTCATATGTAGATGTGTGGTGACTGCAATGAAAGAGTTCCTCGCTCTAATAGAGGTAGCAAGTCAGATGGGTTTTAGATGATATCATGTGTAAGAGGAATTACCACCTCAAGTGATTGCAGCAGTAGTCTCCTCCTTTTCAGATCAACCCAAATGGTTCAAATCAATAGGAGGTGAACTGCTTGTACCGAATAGTATATATCATAGTGTCTGACAATGTAATATAAACAGAAATAAAAGCATGTCTGACAAAAGCCAAGACATCAAAATCTAGGACCATAATCAAATATGGGAAAATGTGCTGCAAAAGCCTTAATCTAAAAGCAGAAAAACCACACAGTAAATTATATACAACCAACTTATATCCATAATTGCAGTGTTCTAAATGCACTTCAAATCATTGTCTGGACATAATCCTGTATCATTTAGTAAGCAAAACTACATCAAACAGTAAGCTCAAAGTACCAAGCAGAAGACCAAAAGGTGAGACTGAAGGCTACCAAACACCCCCATCTATCAGCACAAACCACTAGCCAGTCTAATCAGCAACACCAGTCCAAAAGCAAGTCCAGCATATCAAAAAGAACCTGCAATTCCCGCATCTCATCTGTCAGAGTAACACAGAAGAAAGAAGGCATCACAACATATGGAAGAGGCAATTGATTCAAATTTTGAATGCTTTACTTTAACTCGAGTAAGCAGAAAGAGAACAGAAAAGAGGGCAAGATGACTGAGAGCAATCAATTATGTCTGTCTGAAAGCAATGAAATCTCTGGCATAACCAGGAAGTAGCAGCGTTCGATGGCTAAAAGTGTTCATTGGCCAATGAATCATACAGTAATTACCTGAAAAATTGGATTTTTAGCGGCAGAGCAGCCTCCCTCCTCCACTGGAAGCTTTCATAAGAAGAGCTTAACGAGCTAGTAAGAAGATTAAGCTAATGGAAATCGGTATAACATGCGATTTGCCGTTTCCGGCTACCGCCGCCGGCTATTGAGAAGCCGAATCTGCTCGTGGTTCTTCTTGATGAAATCGTCGAATCGCCGGTTTAAATCGTCGTGACCCGTGGATGGGGGAGGCGGCTCCGGTTGCCTAGCGTATTGCCTCGACTTCGCCGCCGCCGGTGGCACCGCTGCTGCCCGAGATGACTTCTTCGCGATCGCTTTCCATGTGACCTCCATGGAGTCATTCGCCATCCCTGCCACAGTCGCCGCAGCTACCGCCTCGTCCTCCTCTTCCATCACCGTAATGCTGCTCTTGGACTCTGGTTCGGCGCTCTTTTTGGCTATAAACGCCGACGAAGCCGTGGACCTCTCGCCGGACTCCGTCGTGATGCACGACGCTTCGGACGTCGAGGACTCACCGGGATCCACCGACGGAACCCCCACCTTCGTCGCAGACGGCCAGATCTCCGGCGTGGGCTTGCGTAGAAGGGGCGCCGTATGCGAACGGTTGACGGATTCGACCTTTGCAGGATTCCCAGAATCCGTAATGTGCTCCTCCACCGCCCATTCCTCGCAGTGATGCTGGTGCTGCTGCTGTTTTTGATCAGAGAGCTTCCAGATGACGAGGATAATGAAGTGGACGGCAATGAATAGGTACGGCCGTGCGAGCCAGGACCGGAGCGACCCCCAGAAGCCGGGTACGGCGGAGGCCAGGGCGCCGGCAGCGACAGGGACGGCGGCGCAAAAGGAGAGAATGCCGATGACGCAAAAAGCGATCTTGGCGGCCCAAATCGCGGTTCCGTATCCATTTTTCTGAGAATTCCATCGCGGATTCGCCATCTCCGTGAGCAATCTTACGAAGAACAAGAAAACGCTCGAAGCCAAGAAAGACTCAAGAAGAAAAAGATACAATACGACGCCAAGTCTAACAGCAGGAGAGTGCCATTGGCATCGGAGAATGGAAGGGAGCCGCGCAACCCTCGATCCTTGGCTGGGTTCGAGAGAAAAGGATAATTCGAGTTGATGGAAGCAGCGTGTGGGCTATTTATCATGGAGACAGAGACAGAGAGAGACGGAGACGGAGGGAGGTGTTCCTTCGATTACTGCGCAAAGAAGAAACATGAATACGAAATGCCTATCTATATTAACATCGGTCAATAGGAACCGTTGGATGATCGATGGACGGCTGATAAAATTTGACGGGAGTGTTTAGAACTAAAAAAAGCGAAAAAGAAAAAAAATAATCTGATGCTGATGTCGATGAATACTATATTTTAATTAATTCACAATATAATAAAAATATAATCCCTGATCATAACTTGGTCAAGAAACGAATCAAGAGCAGTAAGATGGATGGTGAAAACCCAAGCAACAAAGTGAGGAGGAATGAGTGACTGACCATATGTAATTATAAGTTACCGAATATCCTAAATCTTACATAAAAATATTGTATCGCTTTAATGAATATCCTATGCATACATGACAGCGTTGTTTATGCATTGTATTACAAGTATGAGAGAGAATAACCAAATGAGAAGTAAAGTTCATACATTATATAGCTCAGACACAAATGCACGCCAATCCGAAGCCTTTCCTGCCACATCAGTGAAGCCATTTCGATCTGAAACTGCAAATATTAATTATGATCATCGTTTTCTCTCTGTTATTCCTTATCAATCCATTAACAAGTAGGAGAAAGAATGATAAGATGAACATACATTATATATAGTCTTCTGAGCTAAAGACACAATGCAGGCCATCTGAAGTCTTTCCTCCGCAGCATTAGTGAAGACACTTTGTCTTCGTTCCTTAAACAATCCCAATAATAAGTAGGAGAGGAAAAATAATTCAGATGAACAGGAAAGTTAATACATTATAATCTTCTGAAGTCTGTCCTCCAGCATCAGTTCTGAAGGCACTTTGACACACTTTTATCTTTATTCCTTGCTTGGCACTGGATTGACAAGTAGCAGAAAGACCGATCACATGAAAACAATCAGTACCTCGCTCACTAATACTCTCTTTCCTTTGCACCAAAGTGGGCACTCTATTAGTGGGGTCAGTAGCATGCAGCCACCATGGCTGAAAAGTGAGGAGGAAGACAAGGCCGGTGGCTCTTTTCTTCTCCAACTTCCTCCTCCTCCCTCCTTTATGTGATTGGTTCAGAAATAGGAACCCTAATCTATCAACCATTTACTATTCCAGAATGGTGTATAATTTACCTTCGGTTATATCCATCGTATGTATGTATAGGATTTCTTAATTTAAGACTGATCTCATTTAATAAGTTTTATTAATTCTATTAGGATTTCAAACTATTGATCAACTAAGAAAAGCTCATGACTTGGACTTCATTGTGTTTTAGAGAACAAGGCAATGGCTATAGAACAGGAAAGGTCACAATTAAGTTACAGCTATAAACCTAAGGGTGGGGGG